CTCTTTCTCTTCTTCTCTCTCTCTCTCTCTCTCTCTCATGCTCTCCTCTCTCTTCTTCTCTATCTATCTTCTTTTTGCACCCCCCCTCTCTCTCTCCTTCTCCTCTCCCTCTCCCCCTCCCCCGTTCCCCTCTCTCTCCCTCCCCCCCCCCCCTCCCCTCCTCTCTCCCTCTCTCTCTCTCTCTTCTCTCTCTCTCTCTCTCTCTCTCTCTCTCTCTCTCTCTCTCTCCTCTCCTCTCTCTCTCTCTCCCTCTCCCTCTTTTCTCTCCCTCTCCCTCTCCCCTCTCCCTCTCCCTCTTCCCTTCCCTCTCCCTTCTCCCCTCCTTCTTCTCTTCCTCTTCTCTCTGCTTCCTCTTCCTCTCCTCGGCTTTCCTCTCCCTGCTTCCCTCTCCCTCTCCCTTCTCCTTCTCCCTCTCCTCCTTCTCAATCTTTTCCCTCTCCCTCTTCCCTTTCTCTTCTCCCTTTCCCCTCTTCCTGTTCTCCCTCTCCGTTCTCCCACTCCCCTCATTTTCCTTTCTTCTCTCCATCTCCCACTCCCTCTTCTTCCTCTCCGCTCTTCCCCTCCTTCTTCCAGGTACACAGTAAAAAGAGATATTGATTGAGACAATTCTTGCCCCTCCGTAACACAGAAGATAGTGACCTTACATAATGAGTTCCTCTCCTCCTTCTACTCCTTCTCACTCTTTTCCCTCTCCATCATCTCTCCCTCTCTCCTTTTCCCCTCTCCTGCTTTCTTCTCCGTTCCGTCTCCCACTCCCCTCTTCTTCCTGTCTTCTTCTCCATCTCCACTCCCTCTTCTTCCTCTCCGTCTCCGGCCTCCTTCTTCAGGTTAAACAGGAAAAAGAAGATATTGCATTGAGCACAATCTTTGCCCTCTATATCACAGAGAATAGCTGCTTACATTAATGAAGTTCCTCTCCCTCTCCATCCTTCTCACTCTTTTTCCCTCTCCATCTCGCTCTCCCTCTCTCTTTTCCCCTCTCCTGAGCTTCTCCCTCTCCGTCTCCCACTACCATCTGTCTTCCTGTCTCTTCTCATCTCCCACTCCCTCTTCTTCCTCTCCGTCTCCCCTCCTTCTTCAGGTAACAGTAAAAAGAGATATTGATTGAGACAATTCTTGCCCTCTATATCACAGAAGAATAGTGCTTACATAATGAGTTCCTCTCCCTCTCCTCCTTCTCACTCTTTTCCCTCTCCTTCTCGCTCTCCCTCTTCTCCTTTCCCCCTCTCCTGCTTCTCCGTCTCCGTCTCCCACTCCCTCTTCTCCTCCTGAGTCTCTCTCCAATCTCCCAACTCCCTCTTCTTCCTCTCCGTTCCCCTCCTTCTTCAGGTAACAAGTTTAAAAGAGATATTGATTGAAGGACAAATTCTTGCCCTCTATATCAAGAAACGATAGTGCTTACGAATAATGAGTACAAAAGTTATACTGAATAGAGATTCTATAGAGACTGTGAATTCCTATATATAACCTTGTCGTCTATATCTGAAGTTTCTGGAACTTTTGGAAGTTAAAGAGCAAATGGCCATACTTTTCAGGGGGCATAGTACATGGGCTTCTCGTGGAGTGATTTGGATGAATTTGAACGAGATCCTGAGCGTAATGTGGGAGTAGTCAACCCAACAAAACAGGATGTTGGGCAGGCATGGGGGCCACAGAATTCATACTGTTGCAGACCTTCTTCAGTTGCTTGTTGCAGAATGGAACATTTTCCAAGCCAATGGGTGTTCTGAAGCCATGCAGTACGTCCTTCTCTGGTTAATGCTCTACTGTTAAAATATGCGATGGAAATTATTAATCAGCATATGCATTTATATTATTATATATTGTTGCTGTTGTTGTCTTTGTACTGGGTACATTGATTGTTGTTATAGTTTTGTTATCGTTGTTGTCTGTATTATTCAATCATTCATGATTTTCATAATTATTATTACTATATATTCATTTGTTATTGACAAGCGGACAGTGATAATGAATAATTAGATAGTGATAAGCAATAACAATGATAATGAATAATGGTAATGATAGTAATCGTTAATTAGTTTATTTTATTGTGTTGTGTGTATTATATATATATAATATATATATACATATATATTATATATACTATATATATATATATATATTATATATATTATAATATATAATATTTTTTGTTTTTTTTTGTATTTTTTTTTTTTAACTCATTATGTTTTATGTTATATAACATATTATGTAGTTCTTTTTTTTTTTCTTTATTTTGAGCTCATTGTTAGTGAGATTTTACTGATTTATCTTCAGTACATTACACCTTGCCATCTTTATTTCCTCAGTCCCAGCCAAGTACCATGTTCTCTTTGATGATGCTGAGACTCGGCTTACGGCCATGTTTGTGGAAGATAGATCTACCATTAATGTGGTAACGCGGCGCTCTGAAGCTATTGAAAATACCCGGCACTCCCCAAATGGAATTATGCATGCTCCTGCTCCAATATCATCTACCCCCCCTTCAGCAGCAGCACATGGGTATGGCATGCGTAAGCAAGCAATGGTAAATCCTGCCCCACAAGTGCCACAGATGCAGCAAGTGCGGGTAAATATAGATTTTCTTTATTACCTACTTTATCCTTTTATGTAATTATTGGTGGTATGAATATTTTGTTATTTTTTGTGGTTCGTTTAATTACTGAAAGGGATATACACCTTGAAATTTTTCATAGCGTTCAGTAGACTTGATTCATCATTCCGTAATTTCCTTCAGCAAGAATCAGGTATGTCTGCTCTTGGTGCTTGTGCTCTGAGTGGCTCCTTGTCACACAAATACAACCCGGAAAACCTTGACCATGGGAATTCGCGGATCAGCCACCAGCCAGCATCACCTAAAGTCCCGGAGACGTTACTCAACCCCAAGCCAAGTGCCCCTACTCTAGGCAGCATGCGTCCTATGGTTCCCATGCACCAGCAGCCTGTGATGCACATGGAGAAGAAAATCAACAATGATGAAGCCCTTGGGTAAGATAAACGATGATGTGTCAACTTGATGTTTTTCTTTTCTTTTTATTTTATGAAGATTGATTTACATGTTTTATAAGTAAGATGTTTGGCAATATATGTTTTTAGATATGTATGATATACAGTTCATATAATCCAGTACCAAAACAAAGGTGATCTGATGTTGTGTCTTGAAAAATGTTTAGTTGTAATATGATTTTTTTGTTCATTTCATAACATTAATGTTATTTTTACTATGCTACAGTGGAACATTTTCATGGAGACATCTGAAAGGTGACTGAATATTGTATTATATTAGTTACTTGTTAACTTTGTAACACATAAATCTTTATAAAGTATTCAAAGCATGTAATTTAAAAGGAAATCCATACTGAAGTCCTCATGTAGGTGTATGCAACCCATGCCATTTGATGTTTTTTGTGGTCGCCCTGTAAAAGCAGTTTGTAATGTCACTATGAACCCCACGTTTTAGGATATATATAGAAGTGAATAAAGAAGTAGCTAAGTGTGCAGTGAATATAATACTATTGATAAAGTTACAACAATTTGCTGTAGTCTAAATGAAAACCACACTTGTAGAAGTCAAATAAGCTGTATGTCTCATAACAAAACTGTGAAACTAAATGTAGAGTATCCACCCAATGTTTTTAGGGAAATTAGTGTGACTTTGAGCATGATTTTTTTTTGTAGATATTCATTGTAAAGATATGTAAAGTAAGGTAAAGTAGTGTTGTGGTGTTTTTGGTATGATGTGCAACTAAGACAGGTTTCATTATATTAGTGCATAATATAACCAGTCAGTGTCTCAAATCAGGGACTGAGTTTATGTTAACCCTTTGTTTTTTGTTATTCTTCAAGTGTGTTCATTGGTTATTGTTACATATGTCAGGTGAGGTATTGTAGTTATTGTGATTCTGATGTTTTAATTACTTGTATTTACTTATTCAGATCTTCAGATTCATATGTGCAGATTGTGTCCTTAGCTGTGTGTCTTTTTTGTTCGGAGTTATTATATATTTTAAGAGAATTTTTGACAGCATAAGTATTTGTAAGTTATAGTCATTATTGATCTATCTTTTAAAGTATTAATGGTGTTTATTCATTCGTTCATTTTTTCTTTATGTGTAATGGAGGCTAAAGAGAAAATATCCCTTTCTTGCAGCATATGGGGAGAAGTATCCTGCGATGACAATAACCACAAGTCTCTGCCTAAGTATGACTTTGACCAGGAATATGCGGACAGAGTAAGCTGTTATTTTAAATAGGATAAGAATTGGCATCAGTTTCGTTTTTGTTTTGATATTTATTTCTTGATGTTATTAATGATCGGTATCCTGATTTTGTTAATTTAACTTCTGTAAAAAAAGAAAATTGTATTTATTTATTTATTTTTAGATATTTTTTCTTTTCTTTTCTTTTCTTTTCTTTTCATGTTTTTAGTGGATATTGGGAATGAGTTAGGTGGGTTGCAGCATAGTATTAAATGAATGCAGAAATATTGTGGCAGATTGAAAATAATAGGTATAACCTTGACTTAGTAAGAAATAACTTAAAAAAGTATTTTCACTATACAATATTTCAATTTGATTTCTTACAGGTTGCAAGGAAACTGGGTTTAGAAGGAAGGGATCAGATGAGAACAGACAGTAATAATGGTATCATGCCGCATCACCCTAGAAGGAAGGAGGAGTCCTTGGGCCTCGCTTCGTCTCCTGGGCAAGCCAGTTCATTACCCTCACCTCCAAGCCCATTACCCCATGCCCATGCTGCAGAGTCGAATGGGAATGAGCGCCTGCGGAGAATTTCCTGTGAGTGATGTCCTGGGTGCTATGTCCTGTTTACTGGTGTAATATGAGTTGTTTGGTTACTTCATTGTATGTGTGATGGACTAAAGGTGGTCTGTGAGTACAGTTGTGGTAAATCCTGCTGTTTTTAACTTGTGTATTGGTTATGTGTGCACTTTGGGACCAGTAGTTATTGCCTCTAGTGGCCTTATATAAGTCCTTTGAAAGAAGGCCTGGTTCTTGTGAGTATGGGAGTATATGACATAAAACATACTGCCATGACATTGAAGAAGAAGAGAATGAGGAGGTATATTGAGAAGGTGTATGGTTAAGTCTTTGAATCTTGTATTTGTTTCATATTATTGGTGGGTTAGAATTCAAATATCATTGAAAATGTTCTTGTCCAGATATTCTACAAACTGACTTGGTAGTCTGAATTGAGCACTACAGACCAGGAAAGATAATAGACAAGATATCAAATAGTAATCTACTTCTGTCACTGTTCCTTCAACCCCCACCCCTATCCACAACTCCTGCCATTATAGCAAGAATACTCTATATGCAAAGAAAAACAGGTACCTAGCAACACCAGATTTTTAGATGAATTATTTTTAATCCATTCCGTGTCTTATTTTCTGTCAATTTTTTTTACTTAGAACATGGCTGAATTAGAATTTACTAATATAGTGACAGTCAATAACAGTAGAATGCAGAGGACAAAACTAATAGATAATAGGGAGCCACAAAACACCAAAGTGTACTGACTCAGAGACTGATTGTTCTGGTGTCATCATCATAGCCATGCAGGGAACATCCAAGAATGTCTTGTGAAAGACATTAAGTATCTGCCCAAGGCACACTGACCTACCTAGTAGAATCTTGTAATATTGAAAGACCAGAGATTTGTCCTTGGGCTTAATGAGCTGTGGATGTGTGACTCCTGTCAGCAAGATCTGGAGCTGAGGGTATGGCTGACATGAATTTGGTCATATTAATACTGTGTGTGGTATTTGTTGAGGATTTGCTGGGGTTGAGTGGCCTTCCATTATTGCCAAGAAACAAAGCTGGGGAGTAAAAGACACCAAATTTATTGCCCTGTTGCATTGCCCATACTGCATCAGAAAAGGAGGGTCATTAGAGTAACAGACTGCTGAAAGCAGGTCTAGAATCTTGTCAAAAGACAGTGATGGTAATTGTGATGTACCTGTGTCCAACAAATGTCCATTGTAAGTCCAATCCAAAAAAGTTTTTAACTAAATTTTGTTTTACCATATTTCAGGTACTTCAGATACTGCAAATGAATGCAATGTACCTGTGATCCCCTACAAGGAGTTGGAAGAAGCCACAGCTGTCTGGAACACAGACAACCTTCTGGGTCGTGGTGGCTTTGGAACTGTCTTCAGGGGCACTTGGAAGAACACCCAGGTGGCCATTAAGAGGATTGACCCGGTGAGGATTTGAACCTGTAACACGACCAGTTTGTGACTCTGCATTATCTTTTTGCGGAGCTGTATGTATGTTTTTACTTCCTTATTTGCTTACTTCCATTTCATGCTTGATTTTTAGAAAATGAAGAAATTTAGTGTACAAGATGCAATTCTTTGATGTAATAGGAACACCTTGAAGTTTTAAAGTTTTATGTGAGGAAAGAGTGCAAATCAGAATGCAGTGATATATTGTACTGTGATGTTATTCTATAACTATATTGTCAGATAATTATTCCTAATGTGTTTTCAGCAAGGGAATGCTGCGCTAGATAGCAAACAACTGCATGTTACACAGAGTTTTGACGAACTAAAACGTCTGCAGTCCTATCGTCATGATAACATCTTACAGGTAACCTCCACTGTTTTTTTTTTTTTCATACATTTCTCTCTTTCCTTCCTTCCTTCCTTTCCTTCTTTTTTTCTTTTTCTTCTTTCTTTTTCTTCTTTTTTCTTTCTTTCTTTCTTTCTTTCTTTCTTTCTTTCTTTCTTTCTTTTCTTTCTTTTCTTTCCTTCCTTCTTTCCTTCTTTCTTCTCCTTCTTCTTTCTTTCCTTTCCTTCTTCCTTCCTTCCTTCCTTCCTTTCCTTCCCTTTCTTCCCTTCCTTCCTTCTTCTTTTCTTCCTTTCTTTCTTTTCTTTCCTTCTTTCCTTCTTTCCTTCCTTCCTTCCTACCTTCCTTCCTTCCTTATCCTTTCTTCCTTCCTTCCTTCTTTCTTCCTTCCTCCTTCCTTCCTTCCTTTCCCTTCCTTCCTTCCTTCCTTCCTTTTCCTTCCTTCTTTCCTTCTTTTTCCTTCCTTCCTTCCTTCCTTCCTTCCTTCCTTCCTTCTTTCCCTCCCATGTACTTGGGTTCCTGCTCACTTGAATTTACAATAAAGAGTTTTATTATGACTTAGCATCTCATTATTATTATTTGTCATTTTCCAGGTTTATGGCTACTCGGCAGATCCAGATCAGCCCCTGTGCTTGGTGTATCAGTATATGCCAAATGGTTCTGTAGAAGATAGACTGCAGTGCAGGGTAAGTTAGGGAATAATAACCTATTTAGGAATGTTTTGCGAGAGGTTGGAAGGTCCGTACTTTTAAAACCTTTCACCAGGGGTGGCATTTGATTTCGCTGGGCGATCGGAAATTTCGTATTATTAAAAGCATGCCAAGTGTTCACCAGGGCTGGCGTAAGATTGTATTGGAACAGCCTGGTGAAGCAAAGTCACAAGAGCCCTCCCTTTCCTGTGATTGAATACCATTTTTGTGCTTTCAAATTATAAATTAGTAACATATTTTTGTATAATATGATATAGGAATCACATTGTAATTTTAGAATATCTGAAAATCACAATTTATTATGGAATAACGTATATACATAGTTTTTTCAAGACCATCAATGTTCCAGTCGGGAACTCAAGACATCAGCTGTATTCCTTCCCCCCCACCCCCAGGCCTACTGTTCAAAATTTTTTATCAGATAGGTATATAGTATTTTTAACTCCTTTGTTAAAGTATAAAGTTTATTTTTGTATAAAAGTATAAAGTTGATATAGGATAGTATAAAGCATAAAGTGAACTTTGTTATAATATGAAGTATAGTATAGTATAAAGTATAAAGTTAACTTTGTTATAGTATACAGTTAATTTTGAACTTTGTTAGAGTAGAAAATGAGACTATTACAGAGATAACATTTTTGTCTTCTCCCAAGGTTAAAAATTAAGTTTAGGTTATGTTAGGTAAGGTAAGGTAAGGTAGGGTTAGGTTGGGATTTAACATGGCCTCTATATAATCCTTTATGAGGTCCCGATGGACTTTTTTATCCAAAATGGATATAGGAGAGGACTGACAAACTTCGGTGGTGGTTGCCATAGTGATGCTGTGCACTGCAGATGTAAACAAATTTGCGTTTACTGCGTTTTTTCAGTCACCAAAGCATTAGATTTAGTAGGAATACAAGATGTAAGCGCCTGTTGATCCCTTTTGTTTGCCAGGCCTGACGATTGCCTGCCTTGGCAAACGTTGGGTTTTAAAGTAAGGCCTCCCTCACTGAGATTATCGCCTGGCACAGCTTCACCAAGCGAACGCCAGCATAGGCGAAAGGTTTTAAAAGTACGGGCCTAAGACATTGAATTCCTTGTAAACAGAAAATTATATATTTTTTCCAAATACTGTATGAATCTGTGCCATAATTGGATGTTTTTATCATATAATAAAGAAATCTTTTGCAGTCTCATAAATCACTTTTCCCCTGTGTACTTTATGTGTATTTTCTTTGAATAGAGGATAGGAGGAAGTCCCACAAAAGCTCTCACATGGTGGCAGCGATACAGAATAGCATGGTGCACTGCCAGAGGGCTTCAGTATCTCCACACTGTTAAAGACAAACCATTGATCCACGGGGATGTTAAGAGGTATTTTTTTCTTGGACATTCTTTACAATCAATTTCAAAGAACTTATCCCAACTCTTCATAGGTATATTAATGATTTTGCAGTGTTGTATGAATGTGCATAATACACATGCATGTTTATTATATGTCTGTGTCTATATATTGTTTTTAAGTAGTTATATCATCCAACTCAATAATGTGATTAGACATGAAATGTATTTGTTTCATACGTTTCAGTGCAAACATCTTGTTGGACCAGAACTACGAAGCAAAATTAGGAGACTTTGGGTTAGCAAGGGAAGGGAAGAGCCAAGTCACAAGTATGAAGGTGAGTCTTTTGATATTGTGTTACTTGTCTGGCATTAAAGCTATTTTTTATATTTGCTCTTTTAATATATATCTTTGCTGTGTAGTGCAATGGTTAACATGCTAGTCTTGCAATCTTGCTGACCTGCATTTGATCCTGCACACTACCAGTGGATGGTAACCCCAGCCATTCCTTGCACACAGGGAGAGATATAGAAGCAAAATAGGACAGACAGTATGTCATAGCAAAGAATAGCCAATGTAACAAATGGAATTGAAATTAATCTTTTCAAATCTTTTCAATCTTTCCATATTAAAAGATCTATAACTGTGTGCTGTGTGTCATCATTTTGCCTCTACCTGATACAGGGCTTGTGCTGCTCGTCCAAAATACTTTCTGTGAAATAGGAATTTATTTGATATTATACAAATATTGTTACATACTGTAGTGAACCAGTTATAACTAAATGGAATTTGCTATGGATGCATTTCACAATAATGAATAGGAAAGAATATTGAAAAGAGAAAATGATAACAATACTCAAAAGACATAAGGTGCAGAAGATTATATGCTGGAGTACTAAAAACATGGTGCTTGAAATTAGATAGTTGGGTCTTGCCCGAACAGATCTTGCTTGAATTAATGTTATTCAGGGCATGATTGTCAAGTTTACAAGTTTAGTAAAATTCATGCTACCATTTGCACTATGCCTTCTCGGATGAAATATCTCATGGATAATTTCCAGTTTTTAGCAAACAGAAATTTTAAGGAACATTCAAAACAAGTATAGGGGAGTATTAGTTATGAAAGTATCTGCTAGTACCTGATGAGTAACCTAATCCCTGTGACCTTGGTACAGTTAAAGTCTTTAAGGCAAATAAACAACATTTTACATGCTGATCATGTTTATTTTTGCAGTTTTCACTTTTTAATAATTTTCTTGGTAGTTGTTACAAGTATGATCAAATAATATCTTACAAAATATGAAATTATAAAGTTATGTCAATGAATGTGTGAATTTGTAAAAAAAATTAAAAATGTATTATACCTTCCAGGTGTCACGAGTTCATGGAACCAAACCCTACCTGCCTGCTGATTACCTAAGGTCAAAGAAGCTATCAGTTAAAGTGGATACGTACAGTTACGGCATTGTGCTCTTTGAATTGTGCACAGGTTTGAGGGCCTACGACGAGAAGAGAGAGAGAGGGAAGTTCCTGGTTAGTATGGGTTACATTTTGAGTTGAAGTTTGCATAGAAAAGTTGGTGAATGTCTATTTAGGGTTGAAGTTAAGGAGTAAATTTATTATTTGAATATATATTGAAAATACTTTTTTTTGTTCTACATTTGAGTATGAATTGTGCTGATCTTGCTTTTCACTATTATGCATGTTTGAACAACACATATGCAAAGTGTTGCATGGTATTTGAAATAATTTCCCATTGTGGAAACAGAAAGAGCTTGTGGACGATACAGCAAATGAGGAAACTCTACGAGACAGAAATGCAGGACCAGAGTTAGATGGAGAAGTTTTTAAAATGCTCTTCAAGCTTGGAAGAGTAAGTACTTGTACACAATTTTTTTTTGATCAACCCTTCTTTGCCCAGTTTGAAATTTTAATTTCTATTTGTGGCATGAAGGATATGAACCTTTTTTGAGACTAAATTCCAGAAATTTGATTGTGTTTTCCTCTTAAGGTCATTTTTTCAAATTCTTGCTCACTTTTGTCTTCTTATTGTTATGGCTACTTGTATGTTTGTTTGTTTATTGATGCTTTTCTTTCATATTGTTTATTGATTTTTTTTAAAGGAGAACTGGTTGTAGTTCCTGGTAATATAATAGATTAATGGTATTTTTCCTCCCTTGTAGGACTGTGTAAAGTTAATTTCAACCAAAAGGCCAGACATGACGACAGTCTTCAAGGAATTGGAAAGCTTTGGTCAAGTGCTCGACAGGAATGCTCAAGCAAGAAGTAAGATGCGACAAATCCTCAGTGATATGAGATTAATTGAAAGCATTTTCTTCTTTTATTCCCTTTTTATTTACATGTATTATACTTCCATTTGATGTCCTTTGATTAGAGGCAGACGTAAATTAAGTTTGTTTATCAACCTCAAGATTTTTTTTCCAATTAATTGTTTATGTTTAGTTTCTTTTAACTCATTTATGCCCCCTTTTTTTTCTTTTGATTTTCATTGATGATTTGGTGCTCTTAGTTACCTAGTATTCATATATGCAGATCAGATTGTCCAGAGGAAACTTAAAGCTTGGATGTGGTTCTTCAAAATTTTGGTCTCGTTTTAAGTTCAAATCAGAAGAGAATTTGTTATTAGAATTTATGGTACTTTTGTTGAAAAGAGCATTGCTAAATGAACTTCTTCGTTGTTTATTTGTATTTGGAATGTAATTCAGCATCAACTTGTATGTGGAATTGTGTATTACAGTTAGTTAACATGTAACATAATCCTTGGAAGCAATATGGGGTTGCAGACCAAAAAGTTTGGGAACTTGTATATAAACCTATCCTGTTTGGAGGTGCTAGCTTGATTTTTGGGTGGTGTTGGCTTGCATTTAGTGGGTCTTACCTTTTCCTGTTTGGGGGATGTTAGCCTAGATTTCTATGGGCTTGGTAGCTCATCCTTTTTTTTGGATTCTTCTTCTTCTTCTTCTTCTTCTTCTTCTTCTTCTTCTTCTTCTTCTTCTTCTTCTTCTTCTTCTTCTTCTTCTTCTTCTCCTCCTCCTCCTCCTCTCCTCCTCCTCCTCCTCCTCCTCCTCCCCTCCTCCTCTTCCTCTTCCTCTTTCCTTCTCCTCCTCCTATTTCCTCTTCCTCTCCTCTCTTTTCCTCCTCTTCCTCCTCCCTCTCCCTCTTCCTCTCCCGCTCCCTCTCCCTCTCCTCCCTCTCCCTCCTTCTCCTTCCCTTCTTCTTCTCCTCCTTTCTCTTTCCTCTTCCTCTTCTCCTTCTCCTTCTTCTCCTTCTCTTTTCCCTCCTCTCCTCCTCCTCCTCCCTCCTCCCTTCTTCGTCCTCGCTTCTTCTTCCTTCTTCTTCTTCTTCTCCTTCTTCTTCTTCTTCTCTTCTTCTCTTCTTCTTCTCTCTTCTTTCTTCTCTTCTTCTTCCTTCTCTCCTTCTCCTTCTCCTTCTCCTTCTCCTTCTCCTTCTCCTTCTCCTTCTCCTCTCCTTCTCCTTCTCCTTCTCCTTCTCCTTCTCCTTCTCCTTCTCTTCTCTCCTCTCTCCTCCTCCTTCTCCTTCTCCTCCTCCTCCTCCTCCTCCTCCTCCTCCTCCTCCTCTCCTTCTCCTTCTCCTCTCCTTCTCCTCTCCTCCTCCTCCTCCTCCTCCTCTCCTTCTCCTTCCTCTTCTCCTTCTCCTCCTTCTCCTTCTCCTTCTCCTTCTCCTTCTCCTTCTCTTCCCTTCTCCTTCTCCTTCTCCTTCTCTCCTTCTCCTCCTTCTCCTTCTCCTTCTCCCTTCTCCTTCTCCTTCCCTCCTTCTCCCTTTCTCCTTCTCCTTCTCTCCTTCTCCTTCTCCTTCTCCTTCTCCTTCTCCTTCTCCTCTCTCCCTTCTCCTTCTCTTCTTCTTCTTCTTCCTCTCTCCTTCTCTTCCTCCTCTCCTCCTCCTCCTCCTCCTCCCTCCTCCTCCCTCCTCCTCCTCCTCCTCCTCCCCTCCTCCTCCTCCTCCTCCTCCTCCTCCTCCTCCTCCTCCTCCTCCTTTGTAGGACAGTGAAGTTAACACTTTTGCCAACTTTAGAGGGAGGGGGCAAGAAACAGGGATAATGATTCAAGGCATTTTAGTGCTAACAAAAGTTTTATATTTTTCATGTGCTGGTGAACTAAACCTGTTAGCTCATTGGGATCTGCAGTTGATAATCAGTTTAGTCACTTGATCTGTTACATCTACAGTCACAAGGAAATTCTTTGTACTTTGTTAAGTCTTGAGTTTGCAGTTTATGTAGAAAATATATATATATTTTGTTATCTAGTTTGCTTTACACAGTATTAGGAATGCCAATATTTTGCAAATGTTTAGGGTATTAGTAAATTCACATTAACACAACTAGATGTCATTTTTACAGAAGGAAGCATTTGCATAATTGTAATATGAATATTGGCAACAAGTAGTTGAAATAGATAGTAAGCATTTATAATACTACTTATCATAATCTTGTAAATATCTTGCAAGTTATATGTTGTATATTTTTATGAAAAATGTGTGTTTTTGTTATTGAAATGATAAACTCAAAATGCTACTAATTTTGTTGCTGAATTCCCTGTCAATGTGTTGATGTTTTCATAATCTCTTGTATTAGTTTTATTTATTATTGTATATTTATTATTGTTTTAAGCATTATATTTTACATAATTTCAGAAATATCCTTAGGGGAAACAAGCTCAGGAGCCACAACACCATATATGCTGCAGATCTTCCATGACACGGCTGGGTCAATGCAGTCTCCTTCTGTGTCGCCGTCAACACAGCCTTCCCTTGGGGCTTCAACTGTACCGACTTACCCATCTCCTTCTTCCCCTTCCTTCTTGCCACCTCACTCACCGGTCCCCTCTGTTGTGCCAGGGAGCTCAGTCATGCCACACTATCCACAACATCCCATTGTGTTTCCTAATGCTCCAATGCTAGTCAATGGAGGAGTTCCTTACCGAAATCAGTATCCCCACGCAGGATCGCCAGCCTGGAAGCCAGTAGTTGCGGGTAATATGTATGCGCCTCCGCATGGTCTGCCCATGCACATGCCCCAAATAAACGTTAGTCCTCCTAAGAATGACAGTGCAGGGCAGGATCCACCAAGTTACAGTGAGACCATATTGAAGAACCCTGGAGGTGCTGTGGGTGGGGCCTGTCCTGTATCTCCACTATTACCCCAGGTTTTGGGCCTAGATCTGAATGCCAAGCCCTCGGGCAATACTACCACGAGTTCTGTGGACTCAGAAAGTGACTATGGCAGTTCTGAGTCAAGCCTAATAGCCACCACCACACACAATTTGGGTTACGCAAATGGCTACTATAATGCTGGAGGTGCAGCAGCAGCACCAGTCATCCCAACAGTAGTCCACCCAGCTGCTCTTGCTTATAATAACAACCCAGGAGTTGCAATAACTCCCTTAATCACTGAGCTGGGTATGAAGTCAGCCGAACAACCTACTCTTTCTGAGTCTTCACCAAAGTTGCCATCTGCTGTTGGGAAGAAATCATTCTTATAGTTTGCAGGAAACTCATTCTTTACTGTTCAAATTCAGCACTTATGCAGTGCACAAATCTAGATTTATGAAGCTTTTTGACAAATTTGAAATATTATTTATATATAAGAATTTCTTGTTTTCATAGACATTAGACATTCTAGACATAGAAGTTTATATTAAAAAAAAATATTTATAAAAGAAAAATCTTTATATTGGTTTCAAATATATAATCTGTAAAGCTAGGGATCTTTATGGAACATGAAGAGGTTTTCTCTTGAAAGACATCAGATATTGAGCAGATATATGTACAGCAACTGTTTTTCAGTTATGGCCCTGTTTTCTTCCTGTTAGTTCAATACACACGTTAGCTACTTGATGAAAAAGGAAGATATTAATGCATGTTACTTTTAAATTGCATTACTCTTAAAAGCTGACTTTTGAATATTAGAATTTTAGGTTATCAGGTAAACATATCCTCCTACCTGTTACATTCATGTACTTTTTTATGCATAATTAGCATTAAGAAAGATTAGAATCTGTCAATCAACTGCTAAAGCTACCATAGCCTGCCTAACTGCCTAGTTCATCTTATTTAGAAACCTAAATCTTGGAAGGGCAGATGCACCTTCTCTCGAGTTTGCTTTTCAAAACATAACTAGGCTTTCTTAGTCATGAACTTAGTTGTTTTGTTATATGACCTAGATGTCTTGTCTTCACATTTATATTTTTGTAATTGTTCTAGGTACACACTAAGTTCAGTTTTATATTCATTAACAGTAATTGCTTTTGGAAGGGATGGAAACCTCTCTCCTTTATAGATTTTGAGAAATATGCTGAGTCATCTTGTTACTGGATTGTGTAAAGTAATTTCTTCATATATGTATGTATAGCTGCATGTAGCTTTACATCTGCAATGTATAGAAACAGATCAGTGCATTTTATACCCTTTATATACAGTTTGTTATACTTTTATGTATATTCATTTTGTGCAGGTTACAATTTTTTTTTTCTTTTTTTGTCATAAGTTGTTAGATCAGTCTGCTAAAATTTTTGAGATAAAGGGCTTCCTCACCTTTTCTTTGATAAATGCGCAATGTTCTTGTGTCAAAAGGTGCTCCCTTGATTTTTGGTTTGATTAATTGTACAGCAGTGGTCATGTTAAATGATCTGTTATGGAACTTTCATTTGTTATAACCGAGACAAGATTTATACTAGTATTTTACTCCTTGGTGAATTTATTTACAAAGTAGTAAGAAGAAAAGTGGAACTATTAGTGGAAAATAAAATAGGTATAGCAAGAGAGAGCATGGTGATGCAGTGTGTTGCAAAAGGGGTTGGGGTAGTACAAATAATATTAAATTAGGACCTTTGACTTCATTAGAAGCTTCTTTTTATAGTTTGGATTAGATTAGTTTGGTTAGATTAGGTAGGTAGTTAGTTTGGTTAGGTTAGATTAGTTTGGTTAGGTTAGATTAGGTTGGTTAGGTTAGATCAGGTAGGTTAGGTTAAGTTAGTTTGGTTAGGTTAGATCAGGTAGGTTAGGTTAAGTTAGGTTTGTTAGATTTAGATTAGGTTGATTAAGGTTGGGTTGGTTGGGTTGGGTTCGGGTCGGGTCGGGTCGGTCGGGTCGGGTCTGGAACTGGATCCGTGCCTCCAAGGAAGAAAATCATCGTGTAGAAATGGATCCGTTTCTATAACCCTTGCCATTATGACTTCTGCAGGCTTGTCTGAGTTGCTAGAAGGGAAAGGAGTTCTCAGAAAGCATGAGTGAAGGGACTGAAGCAGTCCCTAATCTCACCAGCCATCTTCAGTTAGTGTCTGTTAACTTCATTGAGTGAAAATGCTAAAGTAATTAGCAATCTCTGATCTCAAATAGTTAGCATGATTTTCTAACTTCAACTCGGCCAATATTTTTGTGCTTTCTCGACCATTACCTCCTTTTTTTTCAAAAGCAAAAATAACTACTTCAGACTTGAATTTATCAAGGTATAACATTATTATGTTGGTAGATGCCTTATTTGAAACCAAGTTATAAACAGTTCTGTTTGGTAGAAGGGAAACTGTCAACAGGTGATCACATAAGTAATAGTGCAGGTTAGTGTTTAACCTATCTCTTTAATCTCAAGTGCTTTTACCATATGCCTCTGCAGTACTATATGGCCTGGGAAGTCTAGTACATTTACATGTTCTAACCATTAACTGTTAATATGCTTCTGGTTTTCATTTCCCATTTTCAACCACATCTTTTTATGAGTGTCATTTTAATTGCCTTTAAAATGCTCATTAGATTAATTGTAGGGTAATAGATTGAAAGGTCTGTAATACCATATTGATTTCACTTCAGTTCTAAGTACAGTAATATTTCTTATTGTGCCTTTAGACTTTTGAGGAAAATGTATCTTCATCTATATCTACTGTACATCTATCAGGCTTCAACATCTCTATCTATATGTAAACCCATCTGGCCTCAAGTCAAATGCTTCTTCTTGTACTGCACCTTTTCCATTCTAGTGGATAATTGTACAAACCGAACAGTAGACATGCTTTGTGAACGAGCCTTTATGTTATACTTGCATATGCTATTACATTACAGAATAATACAGTCTTTTCTTACATAACTGGTTCAGAATTTATATCCTGAATGGGCCAATAATATGCATACCTGCTGCAGTCCCATTTGTCCAAGAGAAAAATGTATATATATGAGAACTGTTAATTTAAGAATATTCATAGAACATTTTTAGAAGTTGACAATCAGCAAGGGTTTATAGGTATTAGCTTCGGATGTGTAGCATGATAAGAGCTTTATTATGAGAGAAATCATGTATACACCCTTAAATTAGTCTAAGAATGGTGTAGGAGTAGAGTTTTTTGTTTGGAAACCTGTTCCTTTTCTGGAGAGTTTATTGGAATTTAAGATATTTTGTAAACCAAAATATAACTTTTAGGTATTTGTGTTTTGTTATGCAACAAAAGTATTCATACATTTTCTGTGATACAGACAAGGAAGTCAAGTATGTCATATATTCTTTAAAAACATGTCAGATAGCTGAAGAATTCATCCATATGTTTTGCTTTCTGCACAATTACTCTATTTGGGTCTCACAAAACCGAAACTATTGCTCATTTGTTTTCGTCTGCAATATTTGAAAATATATATTTTTAAGTGCCAAATAAGACTTATATTGTTACTGTGTATACATAATTTGACTAAAATAAAATAACTATATGAACCTACAGTTTCCTGTACCCTTGCCATGTAATTTATTATAAAACTGATTTAATGTACTGTTTAGTATGGTATACCGAAAATATAGCAATATTCTTAATTCATCAGGTATGAAATTAATTTTTGAAATAAAAAAAAGGAGAGTAGAGAGAATAATGACCGAAAGAGAAAGTAGAGAGAGAGAGAGAATATGAGAGAGAGAATGAGGAGAGAGAATGGAGAATATATTTAAGTGAGCGGACTTGTTCGCAGGAATACAGATGCAGTAGAAGATGGTGCTATGTTCTGATCGGATGCAGAAGCGAAGCAGACTCTAGGAATATAATAGGCAGAGTGGTGTTAGTCCGATTGAGGATCGAGAGTGAAGTAACTGAGAAGAGCATAGATATGAGAGATCCGTGTAGATAGCGTCAAGGGATCAGCAAGTGCGAGCGATGAATCGAAAGATCGTGAGCGAATCTGCAGCATGAAGTTCTCATGTACAGAGAGAGACGATAGGATGCGTGGTCGTACGAGGAGAGGCGTGCATGGATCAGTAGCGAGAAGTTGCGAGAGACGTATAGGAGCAGCGAGAAGAGTTCGAATTCTGCATCGCACGCGACGAGGAGATGAGTTCCAGTGAGATTAGCTGTGATGCGATAGTCAGCGAGGTGCGCGGAGAGTCAGCAGTCAGGAGACGAATACGAGACGATTGCTGTAAGTTGAGAGCTAGACAGTAGCACGCACGTCGTGAGAATGATCGACGAACGCTGAGATTGCAGGTGAGCGTACCGGGATAAGTGCTATATGATGATAGACATCTGCGGGTTGGGCAGCCTCAGTGGAGCAGAGAGGCGAAGTCATGAGGTGAGCGCGGAAACGGAAGAGAGAGAGAGATGAGAGAGATGGGAGAGGAGAGAGAGAGAGAATGGGGAGAGAGATGAGAGAGAGATGAGGAGAGAGAGAGAGAGAATTGGGAGAGGCGATGAGAGAGAGATAGAGGGAGATGAGAGAAGACGAGAGAGAATGAGAAGAGTAAGAGGGGAGAGAGGATTTGAGAGAGAGAGAGAGAGAGAGAGAGAGAGAGAGAAATGAGAGAGAGAGAGAGGAGAATTAGATGGAGAGAGAGAGAGAGGAAATGAGATGAGAGAGAAGAGAGAATGACGAAGAGAGAGAGAGATAATGGAAGAGAGATGAGAGAAAGTGAGGTAGAATGAGAGAGACGAGAGGAGACGGAGCGGAGGAGAGAGAGAGAGGAGAGTGAGCATAGGACACAGAGAAGAAGAGAGAGAGAGAGGAGAGAGAGAGAGTACGATGAGAGGAGTTACCGGAGCTGAGAGAAGAATGGAGTGAGATGAGAATGAGGAGACGAGAGTGATAATGAGATAGAAGGAGACAGGCGGAGAAGCAGGGATGGAGAGAGAGAGAGAAAGAATTGAGCAGTAGAGAATGAAGAGAGAGAGAGAGACAGTTGAGAGAGGAGAATTGGAGCAAGTGAGAGAGAGGAGAGAGAGGTAAGAAGATCGCCAGAGAGAGAGCAGAGAGGAGAGAGGGCGAGAGAGCGTAGAGATGAGAGGAGAGAAGTAGAATGAGAGCAGAGAAGTCGAGATGAGTAGGAGAGACGAGAGAGAGAAGAGAAGGACTGAGAGAGGAGAGAGAGAGAGAGAGAGACGGAGAGGGAGAGAGAGAGAAGAGAGGAGAGAGAGATGAGAGCGACGAGGAGACGAATGAGAGAGAGAGGCAGGATCAGGGGCGAGGAGGAGAAGAGGATGAGAGAGAAGTGATAGAGTAGAGAATGAGAGCAGAGGCAGAGATGAGAGCCACGAGAGAAGAGAGATCAGATGAGAGATGAAAGAGAGAGAGGGTCAGGAGAGAGGAAGACGGATGAGAGAGAGAGATGAGAGAATGTGGAAGAGATGAGTAGGAGAAATGAGAGAGAGAGAGAGATGAAGCGAGAGAGAGAGTGAGAAGAAGGAAGTAGGGAGAGAGTAGAGAGAAGATGCGAGGACGAGAGAGATGAGAGAGAGAGCGAGAGAGAGAAAGTGAGAAGAAGAGAGAGGAATGAAGAGAGAAGAGATGATGAGAGCAGATATGAGAGAGAAGAGAGAAGAACTAGAGAGGAGAGTGTCAGAAAGAGGAGAAAGGAGCGAGAGAGAGAGAATGAGAGAGAGGAGAGGAGAGAGAGGAAAGAGGAAGATGAGAGAGAGAATGTAAGGAGAGGAGAGGATGAGAGAATGAAGCGAAGTATGGAGTAGGGGAGAAGAATGCAGAGGAGAGAGAGAGAGAATAGTAGAGAGAGTAGAGAGAAGAGAGGAGCGGAAGACGAGACGAGAGTAGTAAGCGAGAGGAGGTGAGAAGAGAGAAGAGAAGAGAGAGAGACGAGAGAGGAGAGAGAGGAGACGAGAGAGAGAGAGAGAAAGTGAGGGACCATATGAATGAAGCAGAGAGAGGAGAGTAAGAATGAGAGACGAATGAGAGATGGGCGAGAGCAGGAGCGAGATTAGCATATGGGGAGAGAGAGTAGAGAGAGAGGAGGAGCAATGAGAGAGAGAGAGAGATGAGAAGAGAGAATATCTGAGAAGAGAGAGAATAGAGACGAGAGAATGAGAAGAGAGAGAGAGAGAGAATGAGAGAGAGAGAGAGAGAGAATGAGAGAGAGAGAATGAAGAGAGAGAGGAGAATGAGAGAAGAGGAGAAGAGAAATGAGAGATGAGAGAGAGAGAGAAATGAGAGAGAGAGAGAGAGAGAGAGAGAGAGAATGAGAGAATATAAGAGAGAGAGGAGATTAGAGAGAGAGAGAGAGGAGAAGATGAAGAGAGAGAAGAGAGAGAGAGAGAATGAAGAGAGAGAGAAGAGAGAGAGAGAGAGAGAGAGAGAATGAGAGAGAGAAGAGAGATGAGAGGAGAGAAGAGAGAGAGAGAGAGAGAGAGAGAGAGAGAGAAAGAGAAGAGAGAGAGAGAGAGAGAGAGAGAGAGAAAGAGAATGAAGAGAATGAAGAGAGAGAGAAGAAAGAGAAATGAGAGAGAGAGAGAGAGAGAGAATGAGAGAGAGAGAGAGAGAGAATGAGAGAGAGAGAGAAGAGAGAGAGAGAGAAGAGAGAGAGAGATGAGAGAGAGAGAGAATGAAGAAGAGAGAATGAGAGAGAGAGAGAGAGCAGAGATGAGCAAGAATTGAGAGAGAGGAGAGAGGAGAGATGAGAAAGATCATGAGAGAGAAGAAGATGACGAGAGAGAGCAATGGAGACGAGCAGGTAGAGAGGAGAGAGGGAATGAAGAGAGAGAGAGAGAGAAGAGAATGAGAAGAGAGAGAAGAGAGGAAAATGAAGAGAGAAGACGAGAGAGAGAATGAAGGAGAGAGAAGAGAGAAGAGAGAGAGAGGAGAATGAGATGAGAGAAGAAGAGAAGAGAGAGAGAGAGAGGAGAGAGAGAGAGAGAGAGAGAGAGAGAGATGAGAAGAGAAGAGGAGAGAGAGAGAGAGAGAGAGAGAGAGGAGACAAAGAAAGAAAGAAAGAAGAAAGAAGAAGAAGACAGAAAGAAAGAAAAAAGAAAGAAAGAAAGAAAGAAAGAAAGAAGAAAGAAAGAAAGAGAAGAAAGAAAGAAAGAAAGAAAGAAAGAAGAGAAGAAAGAAAGAAAGAAAGAAAAAAGAAAAGAAAGAGAGACAAAGAAAAGAAAGAAGAGGCAAAGAAAGAAAAAAAAGAAAGGAAGCAATAGATAGAAGAAAGAACGAAAGAAAAGAAAAGAAAAGAGAGAGAGAAAAAAAAATAAAGAAAAGAAAGCAATAGACAAGAAAGAAAGAAAAGAGAGAGATAAAGAAAGAAAGAAAGAAAGAAAAGAGAGAGAGAAGAGAAAGAAAGACACAACAAAGTGACCGAGCTGACCTCCAATATATCCATTTTCCATTTATGTACATTGGACACGAGTAGTATGGGGTGCTTTGATACTGTTTCCCAATTCTTTTCCTTACACCAGATAACCATAATCATTAGTGCTTGTCCCAACCTTGCCCAACAGTCACAACAAGTTACATTCACTTTACAAGGTACTGCATGTTTAGCAGGCAAACACAATGCAGTCCTCTTAGATTATGCCTTTAACTATGGGTTAAGGGAAGCATGTGATACTTGTCTTGGTATAATTTTCTGACAGAAAAGGAATTAAAAAACAAATCAAAAACATAAATTAGTCAACTATTATATTACACAAGAAGAAAACCAAAGTATTGTATAATGCAATGAAACAACAATGATACATACAAATTTAAAGCTATTTTTTTGAGTGAGCTGATCTCTCACATGAAAAAACTAAAACAAAAGGCACACCCTGAATCAATTTTACTCTTCATATATCAGAATGACAATAAACTGATAAATAAAAAATAATTTGAACTTCATAAGCAGTTTATAAATATTCAGAAGAAATGCAATCAAATGAAATGAGTATTGGTTATTGATACAAAACAGTTGGAAGGGGTACAAAGTGCTATGAGAATGAAAATCATTCTTTCACAACCTTTCAATTTAATATTTCAAATAGTATGCTTAAAAACATAGTAACTCCTTCCTTTTCATAACTGCATGGATGGACAGACTTCAAAGTACACTCACAAGAATCTCATTAATTGTTATCCTCTCTTAACCTGAAAAAAGGAAGAGAGAAAAAGCTACTAAAAATAAGTAGTGAAAAGAAAAATTGATGGATTTCTCATATGCAACATGTTCAAAGTTAATGAGAAAAGAAATAATGATAAAAGTAGAGAAGAAACATTCTATAAGTATCACAGATTTGCGTTACATGACAAGTAAAATCATTATTTCAGTCATGCTCAATTTCCCCTAAAGTTTCATGTAAAAATGCAATTCGATAACATCTTACCAGACAACGATACAAGTGAGAGAGAGAAGAGAAGAGAAGAGAGAGAGTGAGAGTGAGAGAGAGAGAAAGAGAAAGAGAGAAAAGAGAGAAAGAGAGAAAAGAGAGAAGAGAAGAGAGAAAGAAATGCACCCAAAATCTTCATCTTGGAGTGAAACTTTACAAGCTTTACGTTCCTTCTTTACTCCCCCCTGCTTGAGCTTCCTGTTCCCGCCTGTATCTTTTGAGCGTCTGTTGGGTCCTCTTGAGAGCAATCTGGGCTTTCTTGGTGACTTTCTTGTGTGGTTGGTTTGGCAGGACCTTATTCTCTATCAACTTCATTATGTCAACCTGTGGAGCACAATCAAACATCTATACTTAAAATCATTCTATATACAAAATTATAAGATATGCATATGTAAGCCTTTCCCTGAAAATGATTGGATTCACGCATGATGAGGTCTTCAGATAAGAGAAACTACAGATCTTATATCTCTCTGTTCTTTATTAATTCATGACCACCAGAAGTTAATAATATGAAATAATGTTTAAAGAAACACACAAAAATATATCTGTGGCACATAAAAAAAGGATAATCCTGGAGTGATCAGCAAAACAAAATATGCACATACTGCTTCATAAGAAAGTATGAATGCATCTCAATGACCTCACCTGATCTGGAATGTGTATGTATCTGATTCTCCGTCCCGACACGTGAAAATTGTCCAGTTTCAACATCTTCCCATTTCCGTCTGTGTATCTCACTTCACTCATCTCAATGTTCATTTTCCTGTCATAGAAACTTTTATATATTCTACTTTTCTAATGATAATTCTTAAGATTACTTTCCTGCTATATAAAATAAAATCTTCAAATACATGTATAACTTCTAGCTAAAAATACAACAAAAATAGATTAACTAATAGAATAAAGTAAATAATCATATATTCAAACAACTCAGTATAAAATTAAAACTCACACATCAACGTCTACAATTCTTCCACATGCGAAGGAATCATTATGAAGTTCGACAGTTGTCTTCCAGCCTTTTAACCCAATGGCCAAGCAGGCAAGTGTGTTCAGTTCTTGCTGGCGTTCTCGTGCGTAGAGACTCATTCTTCTGACTTCTTATCTATAAGGTAAATTATGCATAACTCATTATAAATAAACAGATTCAAATTTGTTTAGTATAAATATTAATAAAACAGTAAAATTATGATATGACGGACACACACTACATTAACAATCTCATCTCTGTTAAAGACTCAAGTGATCACTGTCGCCCACATGCCTTCAGTTCTCTGGCAAAGGCTACTTAACCTCCACCACATATATTCTGGCAAGATAGAGCTTGGACTCTAAGCTCTATCTAGCTAGAATATAATGTGTTGGAAGTTTCTTGGTATGAGCTAGAGTGCTGCAGGTATTTATTGTCTGTGATAATCACTTTAAGTGCAACAGGTATATAATTAAATTTTACCTTACGATTTCAGAATGTAAGTACATACAGAAAATGCACTGAAACAAATAATCTTATGTTTCTATCATGAAGAACACAAAGACAATGTATACTACTAAGCATGAAAAAAATCTATATAAAATAATAGCTCAAAATTCCTTGTCAAAATCTGTGGACCTATACATCAAATGCTCCATGGTTTCCACAGTCCTCAAGCAAGCAAGTACATGCATTCAGGCAAAGTACAGTTTCTAGACCTCCCTGGCAATTTGTCATGAGACTGGGAATCAGTCTGAACTAATCTTCCTCATATATGAAAATGAAATCAGCCACAATGAGAATTGAAAATAATCGTAACGTATCGAACTCTTTACGATTTCCTCTTCAGACAAAACCGAAATAGATCTTGAACTATTTCAGTTTTGTCTGAAGAGAAGCTTGTGAAGAATTTGATATGTTATGATTATTTTCAGTTCTCATTGTGGCTAATTTCATTTTCATTTTTGAGTACACATTACTATGTTTGTGCTTGTGTTCCTCATATATATGTGGCAATGGCTCCAATATTATCATTATTTGCTGGAGAATTAAGCATGAAGGCCACATCACTGTCCATTGTTACCAAATATCATAATTAGTAAGTATCTTTCGACTAATCAAAAGACAGCATTACTAAATACAGAAAACATCCTGTTTTTGCAGGCATTGGGCATATCGCGGAGAAAAATACCCTTTACGAACACTTTAGCAGCAAGAACACTAGAAATACTATGCACGTTACTGTCTGTTTATTTACATTTATTTCAAGTTACAAATTAAGAACTTTTCACATTGGTTACCTCTGTCTTCCCTCTAAGAATGTCCTTCATTTATATATACATATATTTCCTGGTTATCTCTCCTCTGAAGTGCAGAATAAGACGTCACTGCGGGTGTAAAAAAGAACAAATTTCACAAAAATAACTTTGAAAGTTGTTTACCTTTTCATGCTGTAGGGATCGTAGGTATAAAATGCAAGGGTAACCATTTTTAAAAATCTTTAATCTGCACTATTAGACGTAACAATGTCTATTATAAAGAGATAACTTTTATAGCTGACTTTGGTATTAACATAATAGTATTCAATATAATAATATTCACTACTTTAGAATCACACTCCTTCACAGCCATTGGGATCTCCTGCAAAGATTGCAAAGGTGCAAAGGCTGCAGTGGGCGAGTTGCACTACACGATGAACTGCGCCCACACATAAGAGAAAACATAAATATGGGAGAAATTTAGACAACGATGTAGATGCGCCAAAATTGCTAATAAAAGTGTTCGTTGAAATTAGTGTTCCTATCCTCTTTATATTTGAGGATCTAAGGTCTCCTTACTTACTACTAATGTCTTATTTACGGATTAATCATCAAAGTGCTACTGTTGCCTCTAAAAGTCTTGAAAAATGACCCTGGAATGATAAATATCTTACCCCTCTCCTTCCGACATAACTAGCTACAGGTCTTCTAAGTTTTCGTATTTAACTTAATAAATCACAGTTCTTATCTTTTTTTCTTTATAAAATGCATTGATAAGACACAATTAACACAATTTATCTGATACCAATTGTGCAAAACGAAGCATCAACCAGCCATAGTTATCTGTGAATCTATATTCTTAGCGACGGAAAGAATTGAGAACATCACACTGCAGAGTACAACTAACTTAAAGTATATCATCTGACGATTAAATTAAGAATATTACCTGACAATTCACCGGTTAGATTCAAGTACATGTCCGTTCTCTTTGTAATTTAGTCCTCGCCTTCTTTCAACCATGTCCCACTTGCTTTTCGTGAATATAAATGATCTCTTGAATGCGAAAATATTATACCGTGTTGATACGTTGTAGAAGAAAAATGTTCAATGTTTAATGTCTGAAATTAAATGTGCTAGACATCAAAGGTCATGTAGCACTATGGCAAAGTATTGCGTCGGAAAGGGCAAACGAGTTCAAGATTACGATAAAATGTGTTAGATGTTAAAAGTTTTAAGAGCGTTAAAGGATAGCATGGTAGTGAAAAAGGGGGGGGGTGGGGGAACAAGTGAATCAGAGCAGAAATTATTAGTATAAAGGGGAGGATAGGGCGATTGGGTGAATTAGAGAGTATCTGTCACTGGGGATGGTATGGAGAAAATGTTCAAGGAAGAATAGAAATAGTTGTTGAAGAGTAAGAGAAGAATTTGGGGAAAGGGGAAGGTGTTGGATATAAAAGATTATAGGGTGTTATTGGAGAGTATGGTAATGAAAAGGGAAAGGATAGGAAAGGAAAGTAAATGAAGTTGGTTTGGGTGGTTGAGAGGATGAGGTATTTTGGGAAGGGGTTGGGGGAATATAAGGTGGTAGAGCAGCTGAGTGAATTGCAGTGTATCTGTGACTGCAATTCTGTTTTGGAATAAATTGAGAGAGAAAACCCTCGTCGTCGTGATTCCTGCCTTCCTAGTTTAAATCTGAGGACTGCTGCCTCACATTCGAACTTATAGGCAGGGCAGCTCCTATAAAACACATTATAGGAGCCTCCACAATTGGCAGACGTACATGACTGAGCAGGGCAATTTGAACGGTCATGACCAGGTTGGGCACGTAGAGGTGGTAGAAGAAAAGCATCATACGCAAATTAGATTTATTGAAGAGCGAGACAGCAGTTTGAAAATCCTTTTTTTTATTTGTTTTCTATGTATTTTTATACATTTATTTATTTATAATAATTATAATAATTATTATTGTTATTATTACTAGGATAATAACTATTATTATTATTATCATTATCATCATGATTATCATCATCATCATTATTGTTATTGTCATTATCACCATCATTATCATTATTATTATTATTATTACTATTATTATTGTCATTATTACCGTCATCATCATAATGATAAAACAATACTAACGATAATCATCTTTAATATTACAACTATCCTTTGAAGAATGATTCGCACGGCGGCCCAGATCAACAATTCAATAATTATTTCTAATGTCAGTTTATTTCAAGAACGAATGTCATCCAGTAACCGTTATTCTTAATTTATTTTCGTAGTAAAACCTACAAACTTACCGCGCCCTTAAAATACAACATAATGAAATTAGTTTCAATGCAAAGTACTATCAAACTGCATAAGATTGTTTATTTTTTTCTCTTTAGGATGGCATTTAAGCAAACGTAGTGTCCCCTTTATCATTCTAATGGTGCCTCTTCATCCCCTTTCAGTGGCGTCCCTTTGTCCCTTTGGCCCATTGAAACAGTACCCCTTCAGTCAGTCCAGTGGTATCCCTCGGCCCTGCAAAATGGTAGCTCTTCCGCCATTCCACTGGTATCCTTTGGTATTGTACCGTAGTCCCCTCTTTGGTAATTCCAAAGGGCTTCATTTTAGCCTAGTGGTACCCTCTCGACCACTCCAATGGTATGCTTTGACGCTTCCAATGGTTTGCTT